GAAACGGCACAGGACCAGACACAGCTGACTCCGTGCGTGTATGCTGACGGGCTACCAGTAGTGTGGCCACATCCTCACTTTGATTGAACAGATCAATCACGTGAGTGCGAGATTTGATCAATTCACCGTTAATTTTGATTATTCGATCACCGACCAGAATATCTGAGCACCGTGAAGCGACACTGTGCGGTTCAATCTGTGGAGAAAAGCGGAAGAAGGGCATGGTTTTGAGTAAACGGTGACTTACCGGCATCGGTTATAAAATGATGTTACATCTATCTACTGACTACGAGGTAATAAAAAACGATCACATACTGACGTTTCTCTCGGGGTTAAATCTACATGTGAGTTGACGTAATCAGTGCCTGGTGTTATTCCATACACATTCGCCTGATACTGACTAAAATAAAATTGCCTACAAACGGATGCTGTGTGAATAAATGTTGAATTCAAGCTACTCGGTCCTTCCTCCACATGGTCATCCGAATTTACATGCACAGATACAAATAATAGGTACACAAACACACAAATGATGTCATTCACTCTCGTTCCGACAGATGCAACTTTCTCAATCGTGTGTGTAGCAGTTGACCGATCGTGGTGAGTGAGTATCTGTGACAGAGCTTGGATAAACCGCTTTCATCGATCTATAGTTACCTGGCAGCTGGTATTTTCTAGAAGTGTTACTTGTAATTGATGGGAGCAGATAAAAAAGTACCGACTCCGTTACATTTGCATAATCGAAATTTGTAAGGTACAGGTCACTCTAGTTTCGCTTCATTCTTCATCACTGCCACAATGAAATAGTACTAATTCTGAATGGAGACAAAATTTTGCGCAAAATACGACGTGAAGATTAGCTTTCCAGTTTATTTAGTTCACATTGACTTTGGGAATTGGGTTTTATGTACTGTTCTTTATTTTGTGGACCGTACTCATACGAACTTGGTTTTATTGTCCAAATGTTTGATTGCAGTGCATTTTGCGTGAATGAGGACAAAGAGCGATGGACAGATTTCACAATCTCAATTTTGTGGCGAAATAAACCAAAAAAAAATAGTAAAAGCTAATCTGCTTGTCCATTTCAGATCAATTTCGTAGTTCAGATTTTGGCTCCCAACCTGAAGATTTGTGGTTCCAGTCCCTCACAGGGATACCAATGATGAGACAGCTTTCCACTACCCCATATCACTCAAGCGAATTCCGTCGTAAGATAGGAACAAAAAAAGAGATGGTACAGATCGAAGCAGAAGCACCGGTATATCTTCAAATTATCACCTAATGCATCAATTCACGAATAAAACAAGTATTTCCCAGTTTGATTGACCGTTTATATAGTTTAGTAAGATGGGAACTGTGTGTACCAATCTATAAGACACGCATTCTAAACTCAAAGCCACCGTTGTATATGAGGCGGTAAAATACATGAACTCCAGAGGGACAGCGTTAGGAAAAAAATCTGTCATTACAAAATGAATACGTGTAACGTGGCTGGTGATAAAACAACTTCTCACAATTAGAGTCCTTGCGGGAACCAAAAGGATTACATTCTGTTTCGAGAGCTATATATTATATAGCTATATTATTATCAAACGGCGCTTGCAGATGGCGCACAGAAGAGTTCAATCAAGGTTCCATTTACACCGGTCGTTTTTGATCGGCTTTTGAGAAATCCATCCAAATTACAACAGAAAGGAGGGAGAATTGCATCAAACGTTGCACGCAAATGTGCTATCTATTTATCAATCAATCAATCAACCAACCAATCAATCAATCAATCAATCAATCAATCAGTCTATCTATCAATCAATCAATCAATCTATCTATCTATCTACCTATCTATCTATCTAAACCGAAAATGTAAGTTTTGATGAATAACTCTACAGGGCGCGGCTGATTTGCATAACGGATAGATTGTATAACGAGGATGACAAGGTCAGAAAAGTTTCACACTCTAATGGATATCCGGAAGGATTCATCTTAACGCACTTTCAACCCAACGCTACTCGGGAAAAGACACCAGGTGCAGATGAGATGAGAGTAGTCCTGCAACTGCCCCCATCATTGTTTTTACAACCGCCCGGTTGCCAAAATCATCGGTGAAAGAACCGCTGTCTCCCCACGCCAAATCTAATTGTATCTATCAGTTCAAGTGTGGAAGCTCGGCCATCTACATGGGCATAACGGAGGGACAATTGTGTTACCGAACAACCGGGCACATCCCGGTTTGGCTGCAGAAAACAATGAATGGGAACTTTGGGAATATGAGGTCACCAACGACGGTTAGGAAACTCAGTTCATCGATCACGTAATACCTGGTCGAAATGAAACACTGTGTCATGCTGCGCGACGCGTTCAGAATTCTCTACAACACAAATAACACCAAGGTTCGGAAATATGCCGAGGCACTAGCCACTCAAAATTACCATCCCTATCTGTGTAAACAGCGTGAATGTCTTTTGCACTTTTGTGCTACCTTGGTAACAAATGTGTTCGGTGAGTAATTTTGACCGCAATCTTTCTCCGCCCGTGATCTGTTTATTTACTGACAATATAATAATAATCACATAGACTGCAGTATGCATGTGTACAGATGCAGCGAAATGATCCAGGATACATTGTGCAAACCTGTATTTATGGTTTCTTTATTCAAAATAGCTTACCATTGGTCAGTCTGTAATTAATTACACTGATTGTGAAGTTTTTGTTCATCTAAAATTGCATGCATCCTCGCCCGATGCAAATTGTTCTTCTTCGTCGATTCGGTACTAGATGGCCAGTCTCAGATGCCGCACATTTTAATGTCATTGATTCTCCACCCACACCCACCAACAATTGCAAATTGTGAAACGCTTTTTATCAGTTAAACCATGATAATTGGGGAATAGTCACTATTGAACAGAATCAACTGTCTGTATGAACATAAAGCTGAAATGTTCCTTTCATAGTTCTGTGCAACCAAAACCGTTTGATTCCGGGTTGAACTGCTTCAGTTACAATCACTGATACATGGTATATGTCTTCAATCTTCAATCTTCAGTATTGAGGACAGAGGGCAGTGTGCCCGTGTAAGCTCGATCACCACTGACTGGGTTGAAGGTCCGATCACAAGTGTTCGTTCCTTCAGATGCTCATCCAAACGGCGTTTGAAAGCAGCGTTTGTCTTCTCCTCCACCACAATGGCTGGAAGGGAATTCCAGAGTGTCGTTGACCTCCGCGAGAGTCGGTAGACTAACAAAAGACCAACTGAACGAAGTTTCCGCAACGTGAGAGTGTCCCCGCGTGCGATCCTCTGTGCGTAAAACGAAGTACTGTTGTAGCTCCTGGCCCATATCACCTCTCAGGATCTTCCTTAGACTGATAAGATCTCCCCTGAGGCACTGGTACACAACTAGGAACAGACCAGTAGCCGGTAGACGACCTTCATAGCTG